TGCCCATTTTTGGATTGGGTTGTTTATTTTTTTCTTATTGAGTCGTATGAGCTGCTTATATATTTTGGAGATCAAGCCTTTGTCGGTTGGGTAGTGAGAACTTTTAAAATCTACTCTCTTAGCAACTTTCAAGTATGTGATATAGAAGTACAATGAAATATTATTGTCATGAGAAAGAATGAAATTTTGCCTTTTGCAATACCATCGATGGTCCTACAGGACATGTTTTAAAGTGAAATAAAAGAAACAAAGAAAGACAAATATTGCATGATATAACATGCGTGTGAACTCTTAAACAACAACAACAACAACTAAAACTCACAGAAACAAAGGGTAGAAAGGTGGTTGCCAAGGGAAGGTGGGTTGGGGAAGTGAGGAGATTTTGGTCAAAAAGTAGAAACTTCCAGTTAGAAAATAAGTAAGTTCTGAGGATCTAATGAACAGCACTGTGACTACAGACAGTATCTGAATTATTTTGAGGAGCGCCAAGAGTTGAAGGAAGCCGCTGTTTCAAAGAGTAGTTAGTTCAAGGAGAGGAACATTTTAAAGTCTCTTTCTTTTTCCTCCTCACCTTCAATCTTCTGGTTCTGAATGATAAAAATTAATGAAAATAGTAGCTTGAAAGCAACTAACACCACCCCACCTTTGTGTTTAACTGTTAACCAAGTGGAATAAAAAGCCATGAAAGCAAATACAGTAAAGTACTTATACAAATGACACGCAGAAGAAAACCAAAGAGCTCAAGTGTAGAGGTAAATTGCCTGCATTTAATTTCATGACAGTTGTAAATACATAACTCATATTTCAGTGAAGAAAATTCAGAAACAACCCCCATGTTTACGGCCACTTGGCATTGATGCCAAGACTATTCTGTGGTGAGACAGTCGTCTTTTCAACAAATGGTACTGGAACAACAGAATGTTCAAACGGAAAGAAACTGGACCTCTAACTTGCACAGTAAACAAAATTAACTGCAAATAAATTGTAGATCTAAATGTAAGAAGTCGTATAATAAAATTCATTGAAGAAAATATCTAAGAAAATCTTTGGAATCAAGGGTTGGGCGGGCAATGATTTCTTGGATATGACACCAACACAGTACTAGTGACAATAGAAAAAAAATATTAGACAAAATGTAATTCAACAGAATTTGTACCACAAAACATGGTGTATCCACAGAGTGAAGTATTACTTGGCAACAAATGCAAAAGAAAAACAACGAATTACCTTTAAATTTGTAACATGGAGGAACCTTGAAAACATTATGCCAAACAAGAAAAGCCAGCCACACACAAAAACCACGTATTATATTCTTCCATTTATATGAAATACCCAGAGTATTCAAATCTATAGGGACAGAAATTAGATTGGTGGCTGCCTGGGGTTGGGGTGAGAAATAGGAAACTGACAGCTTAAAGGGTAGAGGATTTCCTTTAGGAATGGTGAAAAGGTCCTAAAATATACTGTGGCAATGTTTGTACAGCTCAGTGAGTAAAGTGAAAACTATTTAATTCTACAATTATATGGTATGTGAATAATATCAATAAATCTGTTACCAGAAAAATACTACTAAGTTCTAAAAAAAAATGAAATGAAAAGAAATATCAGAAAGCATTCTGAAATTAATAAAAATGAAAACAAAACTTGTCAAAATACTTGCAATATCGTTTAACAAAATGTTTGCACAGCAATTTAGGCACCAGATAGTTCAAGTCAAAGACAAAGTCAAAGTCAAGTATCTTATCTCATGAAAACACACAAAATAAAAATAAACCCAAAATATGCAGGAAAAAAATAAATGATAAATGTAATGGCAGAAAGCAGTAAAACAGGGGGAAAAGCAATTTATAAAATCAATTTACCTAAAAACTGTTTTTGAGATTAATAAGGGTGATAATCCTGTGGCCAGACAGATTAGGCAAAGAAAGAGAAAGGCAAACATCATAATACAGAAATATTAGAGGTTGTTGCTACAGATTCTATGGACCTAAAAGGAAAGTAAGGGAATGTTACGAATAAATCGGTACTAAAACTTTCGACAACCAATTAAGTGAATACATTTATTGAAAGATGCAAGCTTCTAAAGCTCACTTGAATAATTTCAATATAAATTTTATAATTATTTGTTTTAATTCCATGAAAAAACACCACTGGAATTTTAATAGGGATGGAAAAACACCCCCAAATAGCCAAAGAATTCTGGAGAAAGAAGAACAAAACTAGAAGGATCCTAACCCCTTCAAACTATATTACAAAGCTATAGTAATCAAAACAGTATGTTATTGTTTTAAAAACACACACACAGATCAATGGAACAGAAGAGAGAGCCCAGAAATAAATCCACACATATACGAATAATTAATTTATGACAAAGAAACAAAGAACACACAATGGGGGAAGGACAGTATCTACACTAAATGGGTTTGGGAAAATTGAACAGCCACATGTAAAAGAATAAAATTAGACCAGTATCTTACACCAGACACAAAAACTAACTCAAATGGATTAAAGAATTAGCTATACAACACTTAAATGCACTAACAAAAATATTATCTTTCCTCTATTAAAATTTTGCCACGCTTAACTTTTACAATATGTATGTATATCTGTTTTTCTGTTTAACCTTTTCCAAAATAATCTGAAAGAATAAAACCTAATTAAAAAATAGTTTTTTCAGAAATTTAAACAGATTTCATTTGTATTTTGAGTCTCATCAAATAAAGGAATAATTACAAGCTTTAATCCACTCTTTGGGCCAGTTCAAATAGTAATAAAATATATAATGGACTGAACACACTCTGTAATGTCAAAAAAGATTCCCAAATAACACAGGTATTATTTATCTATTAAGATACACTTTTCTTTCAACATAAAAAACAATTTTATCAAAACAACAGACTATTATCAAAAGAAAAGCAAATGAAAAATTCAGACAAGACCAACTGTTTCATACAAATAGAACTATGTTAAGGGAAAATCAGACATATTAATATTGGATAAGGGGCTGGAGTATCAGTAGTCATTTAAAACCATAAGTCAGGGATTTAGCAACACTGAACATCTAAAAACAAACAAGCAAGCCAGCAACCCAGCTATGCTAAATTTCAAAACGCCTACATACCGAGTGGGGATTAGAGAGCAGTAAAGTAGTAAATGCTATTATAGTTACCTTAGAACATGTTTAAATTGTCTCTTGACACATCGTATTAAGGGTTTTGAGTGGTCATAATTTTGCCTGTTTTCTCTAAAGAAAAATAACCCAACATTACTTTTAAAAAGACGTTGTAAAAATTAGTTCATTCATCAATTATTTATTTCAAATTGTCATTGCTCTCCCAGCTACGATTTGGGGATTTTGTACTTTAAAATCCAAGTAAGAATAAAGCCAACAAACCAAGAGTAATTTTGTTGTTTCCACATCCACCAGTCCTATGGGTTTAACTTTTTAAATATCAAATAACTTAAGATTTCATCACATCCAAAGACATCCCGTGATACCCATAATATTTTTAGAGCCTTCCAAATAGGAGAAGAAGGCCATCAAAAGGGCTTTCTTTTTTCATCAGTCTATTTTCTAACTTGAGTTTTGATTACCAATCACTAGTTCTTCTCCTAAAGACGCTGCCTTCTGTCTACCTGGTTCCACAAGAATGTGGCCATAGCCACTGGGCTTCGTTCCTAAAACCACTGCTAATGTGTGTTCATCGTGTATTATAAGCTTTAATCAAAGCTATGGAAAGTGGAGGATAATTACAGAGCTCTACAGACTAGGATACAAATTCAAAATGAACTGTGGTTTCTAAATCTTACTGCCATTTCCTAATGAGGAGCCTCTCATTCATTGGCCTTTTGGGTGTGCTTTTGGGTGACAGACTAAGGACATGTTCCTGGGAATTTTTCCCTCCCATGCCTTGTTCTCTGGATTACAGAGAAAACATTTCACTGTATTTTTTGTATGAAGCCAGCTTTTAAAACAGAGATGTTTTCTCATATTTCATGTTCACTAAAATAAAAATAAAATAGAAAGTATACCACAAAGAGTGGTAGACTGAAAGTCAGGTGGCTAATACCTATTCTAGACTTTTTCATGAAGAAGCTGTGTGACTTTAAGTAAATCATTAACTTCTCTGAGTTTCGGTATTCTCTTCATGTAATAAACACATATTGACAATCTAATGTGCCACTTTGAATGCAGAAGGCAAATATAAAATCTATGAAGTAAACAAGAAAGAAGCTTAATGTATGGTGATTACAGCTGCAAAGTGGGGTATATTTGATAGTCC